CCACCCCCCCACCACTCCACACTGGGGAAACTTGCCTCCTCTGTTCCTGGTCACTTTCACGTTATTTCCCTAAGAAAGTTAAATCGCTTTGGCACCTGACTCCAAAGCAGGTCATGGTTGGAAGGGAACCCCAGATCCCACAGGGGCAAATGTGGAGTCCATTTTCTCCCCTCCCCCTTCCCAAAGCTCAACTTCTCTCCAGGCTGTTTCTTTTTTTTATGACTGTAAACATAGATAGTGCTTTATTTTGTTAATAATAAGATAATGAGTAACTTAACCAGCACATTTCTCCTGTTTACACTCGGGGAAATTTTTGTTTTCTGTTGGCATAATAAAGCAGACCTTTTCAGAATCTGGCCCTTGTGTGGGGGAAGGGGAGGCTGGGCCAAGTCAACAAGTCCTGTATGTACCCCCAGCCCAAGCACCACTGCCCCCTGGTGGCAGTTCGAGGGAGCTTCAGGTGTGGGGCTGGGAAAGAAACATCTGAGGCAAGGGAGGCCCAGGCCAGATGCCGCCCCCTCAGAGCACACTCTCTGAATGAGACACTGCCCTTGCCTCAAGGAGGAGGGCCACACCTCACCACAAAGTGCCCACCCAGGTCCTAAGAGGGCGATGGTAGGAGTCAGGAAGCTTGGGTTCTCTCCAGAACTAGCCACATGGCTTTGTGTGTTGCAGGGGAGAGGGGGGAGGGGTTGTCATGTCTCCTCTTCGGTCCACATTGAGCTCACCTGAAAACAGGGTTAGGCCTTATCCATGCTTCCTAGCCTCTTTGGAGGAGCCCTTTGAGAAATCTAATGAAAGCGGTGGACTTTCATCTCAGAAAAGTGCTCACAGGGATACCCCAAGCCCATGTATGACCACCTAGGATACTGATTAATGAGCAGGGTAGGGTCTCTAATGATGTATTTCAGGGCTCTATCTATGACCTTTGCTTTGAATGAAGATTACAAAGAACTACATATCACACTAGGAGAAATAAGTCCATTAGACCCAAAAGGGCTGAATAACAGATTAAAACTCTCAAAATGCATATTAACAAGGATTGATAAAAAGACCAATTCTTGTGGTTAAAAAATGGATCCTTTTATTATAGAATGGTGGTGACAAAGCCGAATGGCAATTCTTGTGAAAGTTAGACTTGAGTTGGATTAAGAGAGGCATGTGTTCACAAAAAGGGAGGTGATGGGCCAGTGTACAGCACACAGGCCTGGTCCCAGGTGTGCTATGGCAATCTTAGGCCTTCAATAGGAAAGACCCTTGTCTTTCTGGAGGGGCCCAGGGACAGGCACCCTGCACAGAAGAGGACTGGAGGGAGCCTAGTGGACATGTATGAGAGGCATGGTTGAAAGGGCCAGGGGTGTTTAGTCCAGAACAAGAGGAGACTAAAATAGGACATAAAGGCAAGACCACTTTCTTCAAAGCTGTCAAGTGGGCAACAATAGTCTGTAGCTCATGAGGTAGAACTTGGCTTCTTGATGCATCTCAAGGGTCAATATTTTGGCTTAACATAAACAACTTTTCGATAAAGTTGTTCAAAGTGGTAGTAGACTTCCCAACACAGGAAGTATTCAAGAAGAAGCTCGTGAATGCTGCAAATGGGATTTCAAAATTGGAGAGTGGTGGTTAGAAGTTAGGTGTGGTTGATTCCAGGGAACAAACCTGGGACTGAAGTCTGTAGGGCCCCAGCCTTTAGATCTAGGGAGCAACCCAGCTGCTGACCTTTGCTGGTTTCTCCTAGCCCAGCCTCCCAAAGCTTTGGGCTCTCTCTCCTTGGCCCCCTCCACCCCATGTCTCCAAAGGGGAGCCCAGCTTCCCTGGTCCCTTGCAGTTATGGTCCTTGGGAAGAGAGGTGTGGTGGGCTGCAGCGCCTGCCCTCTGGTGGTCACATGGAAGTGTTGCTCATTTCAACTTCTGCTGTCCACCTACCCCCACGCCCCCGGTCTCCACTACCACCCGTACTGTGTTCCAAACCAAATGTGGGCAGTCTAGTCTGTTCAGGACACTCCTAGCCAGGCTCTCCCTCCCGCCAGTCCCGAGTTCTTCCTTCCCTATTCTCAGGTCCTGTGTGGCCTCTGGAGCCTGAGGCCAGTACTGCCCACTTCCCACTCCACCTCCTGCATCCTGCCCTCTTCATTCTAGCTGCCGAGACAGAGCCACGTGCCCTGTATCCTTTTAGGTTGGGAAAAGCCCTCCATGAGAACCTGTAGTTGGTGCCCTGGAGCCCAGCCCCCTCACCCCAGGAGAGGCAGGACAGGGTCTGATGGGTTTCAAGGCCAGGAACAGTGTTCCTGTTCATTGCCAGCAAGGCTTGGCCACGAGCTCATTCTTTGCCCTGTGTGCCTCCCTGGCAGAGGCCAAGGGTCAAAACCCAGGACAGATGAACTTCTGCCTAGACACGCTTTGCTCACAGTGCCTGCTGAATCTAGGAAGACTCTTTGAGGCCTGGTGCTGAGCAGGGGGGTAGGGGTGGGTGCAAAGGTGCAGTCAGTCTGGAGTGGCAGTGAAAGGAGTGAAGGTTGGACTCCAGGGCTTCGTGGGGGAGGGGCATACCTAAACTCCCTCCCCACCCCACCCTACCTGTCCTCCCCCCTGGAGAACTGAGGAATGAGGATGGTTTTTCAAAGACACCAGTAAGATAGTGCCTGCAGGTTAACTCCCTCTATGCAAGTAGTGGCCACGGGATAATACCTGGGGGCCCTGTCCCAGCCATTCCCTGCTCACCACCATGACATCATCTCTAATGCTATGACATCAAGGCCCCAGGAGGCTGGAGACAAGCTGCCTTCACAGCGGTTATTCCTGCCCTCAGCTCCAGAGGTGGGGAAGGTGGACACTGCCATTTAGTCCACAGGAAGGTTGTACCATGACCACCCGACTCCACGGAAAACCCTTGGGGGCCTACTCTGCCCAGCCCTGGCACTATCCCTATGCCGGGACACCTTTCCCCATGTCCTCCATTGGCACCCCCAGGCTCAGTCCTGCAACCCATGACGGCCCAAACACACTGGGTCACTGTGACCTTGAAGGTGGCTGCCAGCTTAGTTCTAGTGGTTGCCATGGCACCCTGCTAGTTTTGCAGGCAAAAGCCAAAACAGCCAGAGTCCACCTGGCACTGGGCACCTTCTGGGGGGCCCTGGAAGCAGCTGCTGCCTAGTCCTGTGAGGGCAGCCCTGGCAACCCAGGCTGCTGAGGAGGGCGCCTCGACTCACCTCTGAGCTCCTGTTCTCCCCTCCCTCTGGCCTGAGCAAGTGACAGACTGGTTTCAGAAATCAGCCTTGCCTGCTGTCAGGCAAAGCAGTTCCCCACCAACACCCCAGAGAAGAGCCAGAGAGGACCAAGGAAGAAGTCCCGAATACTCTCCTTCAAAGTCTTACTAGTTTGTCACCTGGGTAAGGCCAAGTTCTCGGAATCCACAGCCTAAGCTGCCTCTAAGCAGCACTGTCCCAGGCCAACTGATTCTAGCAAGACGGTCAAAGTCAGAGGGGCTGTGAAACCACCAACCCTGCTCAGGTATGCCCCAAACCAGGAGCCCGGACCTGGTAAGTCAGGCACATGGAGGGCATGGTAGGAAGAGTGCAGCCCAAGGGGACCCTAGAGAAGAGGCCGGAACACTCCACGCACCCCCCACCACCACATGTCCCCCACCACAGGTGTACTAGTCACACCCTCCAGGTTAAAGCCTCACCAGGCACAGAGTGGTCCAGAAATGGCCATTTTAATGCAGAAAATCAAGATAAGTTACAAATGAATCACTTTATGGGCCCCAGAGGCTGTAAGGGTAGAAAGGAGGTGGAGGCCCTTGGGAATCAGGGGCAATGAGCTCAGTGAGCACTTCGGGGGATTCTAGCCAGGCTCTCGCATGCCAGGCGAGCCCTGGAGGTTTCCGGCCCCTGCCCCTTGACTCCCGCTCGTCATTCCTAAGTATGGAGACCTTGGGTCAACGTCAAGACAGAAGGTGAACATGGAGAGACAGATCCTTGGAAGTGAGGGCCTGGAAGGCAGGGGGAAGGAACAAGGCAGGAGGCTGCTGGCTGTTGTCCCCTCCATCAAGCCATAGCTTGAAAGAGCCCAGCTCTGGAGGCCCAGGACATCACCACTCCCTTGCCTTCCCTCCCAGCAGGCTGCAGAGAGACAGACACAAGCACAGAGCAGAAAGGGCACAGGAAGGGAGCACAAGTCCTCAGGCTCAGGTTGGGAAGGGGCTATTTGATTGGATCTTGCTTGGAGAAAGAGAGATCTCAGATGAGGCAGCTGCTGGGGGGCTAATGAACCCAATTCTAGATGCGCCCCGCCTGCCGCCCCAAGATACATACATCCATCTGTCAGAGTTGGCATGATGCTGGTTTGGGCTCAGCACCTCTCACGTGGGGCCTGTTGGCTGATGGGCTGGAGGCTCAGGGCGCTGGAGGTAGAAAGGAGCCCTCCCACCTTCCCTTCTCCCCAAGCCAAGAAGGTCAAGCGACACATCTAAGGCAGCCCAGATTCCGGTCTGGCCTGGCACTGGGAACACTGGGAACACTGGGCTTCCCAAGGGTGGTTGTGGTCTGGTCCCTGGCTGGCTACAGGCACTTTCCCCCAAGTCTGGCCAGGTAAAGGGGACCCCCAGAGCTGGGTCCATCAGCCTCTCGAAACAAGAGAATGTGGTCACAGCAGCACCTACTTGGGGCTGGTAGCAGGGGTGGAGTCTTCTTGGACACCCACCTGTCCCCTCTCCCACCTTGTCAAAGGGTGTGGACCCCAGAGCAGAACCAACCCCTGGAGAACTGGCCTGCCAGGCAGATGGGGAGGGGAGGAATGGGGAAGCTGGTCACTTTGGCATCTCCAAGGCCGACACTTGAGGCTTCACCTTGAAGTACTGGTTGAATCGGATCACCGCGTACCTGCCAGAAGACAAGGGAGGGAGCTGGGGGTGAAAAAGGAAGCCAGGTGGGCCCTGCTGGGGGACTCACGTCATGAGCAAAGTTTCTCACCAGCTCAGCCCATCTAGGTCTAGGCAGATCCACCCCAGCCCAAGCTGATTTTTTTTTTTTTTACTTCAACTATAATTTTATTTTTCTTAGATCAGAATGGAGCGACCCTTCCCCAAATGAGATCACTTTTTTTTTTTTTAACAGTTTAGTAATGTTAAGTACATTCATACTGCCAGGCGACAGATCTCTAGGACTTTTTCATTTTGTAAAACTGAAATTCTATACCTCTTAAACAGCAACTCTCCATTTCTCCCTCCCCCAGCCCCTGGAAACCACCATTCTACTTTCTGTTTCTATGAATTTGACTAATTCAGTTACCTCATATAAGTGAAATTATATAGTACTTTTTTTTTTTAATAGGCTTAGCATAATGTCCTCAAAGTTCGCCTACAGTATAGCTAGCATGTGACATAATTTCCTTCCTTTTTAAGGCTGAATAATATTCTATTGTATGAATTTACCATACTTTGTTTACCCATTCATCCGGGGATGGTTTGTTTCCACCTCTTGACTACTGTGAATAATGCTGTTACAAACGTGGGTGTGCAAACATCTCTTAGAGACCCTGCTTTCAGTTCTTTTGGACACATATCCAGCCCTGAGACTGCTGGATCAGATGGCAATTCTATTTCTCATTTTTTGGGGAAGCAGAGTCGTTTCCCAGAGCAGCTACGCCATCTACATTCCCAACAGTCCTGCACAAGGGTTCCAGTTTCTCCACGTCCTTGCCAACACTTGCTATTTTCTGTTTATTTGATAGCGGCCGTCCTAATGGGTGTGCGGTACTATCTCACTATACTTTTGACCTGTATTTCTCTAACGGTTGTGAACTCTTTGAAGCCAGGGTAGTGATTCATTTTTGGCTGAGGGAAGATGGGGAGGAGACAGGCAAGGAGACTGGACCAGATGGAGGACAAAATGATTCCTGGTCCTCAGGGACATAAATACCTCTCATGATGGAGGCCCTGGGGAGGAGTCAATATTCAAGTACTGTGTCGATACAGCCCGTAGTGCAGCACTAGGGGGCATCGGAGGAGGAGATGGGTCTGATAACCCCCACATGGTAGGCACTAAACCACCAAGTGACTTGAGTGAGTCACTTCCACTCTCTGGAACACTGTGCCCTCTGCTATAAAATAAGGACTGGACTCATGATCGTTCAGATGGATTTGCAACAATTCCATTCACAACCAGGCCCTGTGGGACAGTTAAAAGGAAAAACCTGAAAGAGAATCAGGATAAGGGCACTGGAGAGGGAGGAGGATGCGAGAAAGTGTAATCTCCCAGCAGGCAGGCAGGCAGGGAGGGCATGAGAACTTCAGGCTCCTTCCAAGTGCTGCTCTGGGCTCCCGGCCTCCCCGGAGTAGTGACCTCACAGCCACGGGTTGGTTGGTATGGGAGTGAGTTTGTGGAGGCGTGGACTCCGGATGTTCTACTTGGGCTGTCCTTTGCCCCACATCCTGGGCTCAAAGCTCTTTCTTTTCTCCTTCCCCCATCCCGCTCCCAACTTGTCCCTGTACTCACCTGAGGAAATCAAAGTCGATGGTAGAAAACTGGTTCTGGATGAGGGCCCAGAGTGCCCAGAAAAAGTGAGATGCCTAGAAACAGAATAGAGAGGGTCAGCACGGCGATCCCCCAAGCCTGTCATGGACCCTATATAGTCAGAGGGACACAGTCACTCAGGAAAATACAGAACTAGGACACTGGCAGAAGCAAATATTTGGGGGCTCCGCTCCTTCCAGAAAAAGGCAAGCTGAGTCAGTTCTACCCACCCTGGGAGAGGATCGGCTGGATGGTGCTTCTAGGGCTTTCGGCTTATTCCCCAGCCCAAGCAGAGTGCCACCCCTGGCCTGTCCCACATCAGGGCCTCTCCTTAAGTCTTCAAGGCCCATGTATCCAGGACGAGATGAAGCCCTAAGTCGAGCTCAGGCCCAGCTGGCCAGTGGAGGGGCTGGTACCTCTCAGCAGTGCCCTGGCCACATGGCCATCAGGGGTCATGCTGGAGGAACCTTCCTTCCCAAAACTGACCTTTCCCTCTCTTCCATCAGGAGGCAGGGTCAGGTTGGAAAATGAGTGTAGATGTAGGAATTAGCAGCCCGAGTGTAGAAACTGACTAAGTAGTCAATTGTTCCCTGTAGCCAGAGGTGCCCATGGGGCCCAGGTTACCCCAGGTTCAAGAAGCAAGAGAGCCATGCTTCCTGCTGCCCCCGAGCAAACGGCAGTGACAACAGTACTTTCCCAGGCTGGGGTCCCCCACCCAAACCCCAGTCCTGCTTGCTCTGGGACTGGCAGTACGGTACCTCCGTCCATTTTCTTCACTTCTTAGGACTTAAAAGGGGTGCAGATTAGCAAGTATGAATAATTACTGAAGATTTAGCAGGAGGAAGGCAGGGTGGGACAGTTAAAAGGAAGAACCTGAAAGAGAATCAACTCTGTTCCAGCGAGGAGACTAGAACAGGCAATGTAGAATCCCAGGTGAACAAGACTTTACTTAAGCTCTACGACAGATTGTGAAATTCAGGGCAGCTGACTTGTCTTCTTGCTTATGTACGGGTTAACAATAACAAGACTAGTTAGCAATCCCCTGGGCACACACCCGTGGAGACGTGGCATGAGCCATGTACCCTGGATAAGTGGCACTCAAAATCAAGAACTGACAGCACAGTAATTGGAGCAGGAAGAGCCTAATGGGAAAGACAAAGAGTTCTGAGTCAGCAGAGGAAGCTAAAAAGGAGGATTAGAGCTTATATTCTCCATCTTCTCCAAAGGCTTTAAAAAAATGAGGGGATATGTTTAACTGCAGCATGAAAGACTAAGGTTAGAGACTAGAAAGAACTGAGAAGCTAGACTCTTTCCTGGAAGTGGTTCTCCAGGAAGGAGAGAACCTAGACTTGATGGGGTGGGGGAAGCAAGGAACAAGAGTCTTAGTATTATGGGGGCTGCCCAAGGTGGAATATAGGAGTACATGACGGGGTGGGGTGTGGGGTATGGGAAAGGGAATCTCCAGGACCTCACACCCGGCCCCAGGCTCTGCTTCCTCCTCCACAAGACTGTGAGAGGGCAGTGGGGGTGAGTCCAAGTCCCTCCTCCCAGCTCCTCCTTCTCCTGCCTCCTCCCAGTCACAAGCACTCACCAGGGCAAACTTGTTGACTTGTACGTAGAGCCTCTCCACCTCCCTGGAGGTCACGGCCATCCCCTTTTGTGCCTGTAGGTAGTAGCGCAGCCATTGCAGCTGGGTCTCCCGTACCGGGTACCGGCAGTAATTGACTTCATTCACACCTGATGGGGAGGCAACACAGAAGGTGCTGGGTGATGGCCCACCTAGGGGTCTCCACCAGCCCAGGTGTTCTCTGTGCCCCTGAAAACCTCCATCTGCTCTGCCCTGTGGCCTGTGCCTAGGAATGCAGCTTGTCTGACCACCTAACTTACCTAATATATAGAGGGTCAAGCCTCGCCCCAGCTGGTGGCACTGCTTTCAGTGGGGCAGAGAGGCCAACTAGTTGAACAAGGGACAGTATTGGGAGTGATGGGGAGCCCCTAAGGCAGCATCACAGTCTCCTCATGACCTTTATAAAACTAAGTCACATAGGAGGCACTTGGTCACAGCACTGAATTGGCCTAGTTATCTTGGGTCCAACGCTAACCTCCAGTTAATCTTGGACAATTCCTTTCCTCTCACTGGCCCAATCTCTTCATTGAAAAAAAGGGGCTAGACTTAACGTGTGCATCTCAACCATTGCTTCCTGGACCAGTTGAGCTGGCTACTTAAAAAACATCACCTGGAAAGCTTGGTAACAACACAGATTCCCAGGCATCTTCCACCCCCGGTCCTGTTCTCCAGATGATTGGGAAAAATAGACAGAACTCGATGACCTCCATCCCTTCTAGGCACTTCCTTGAGTCCTCAAGCCGCCAGCCCAACATGCACCAGCCACATCCTGGGCACGGTGGCAGAGGCCCTGGCTTCAGAGCTGGTACAGAAAGCAGCATTTACTTAAGATAGAACCAGGATTGGACCACCTTCCCCAGTTTCTTCCTCTTCTTTCCTTCCTGTCCTTCCCAAGCTTCCCTTACATTTTTGGAGAAACACACTTGGTCTCCTAGGTCCCCAAGAGGATGGCTGGAAAGAATCTCCTTGGGCAAATGTAGAAACTAAGGCCTAGAGAGAAGAAATTTGCTCAGGGTCACGTATCCAGTTAGAGGCAAGTTCAGGGTTAGAACTCCTATCTCCCTGCTCCCGAGAATGCAGAAGGTCCCTCTCCCTAGCTCTCAATCTCCCCCTCTGCCCTCCTCCTTCTCCCATGCTCAGTTCTTCCTTCTTCATTCTCGACTTGGAAGCAGGATGCAATCTGCCTCTGAAGAAATTCCAGCTGGACTTTGCTCTGTGTGGTGGGTGAGGAGGACTTAAAATGCTTAAGAATTATCCCCTCTGGAAAGGCTAGTGGTTCAGGCCCAGTGCCCGGCCAGTGCCAGCCTCAGCCCCGTGCCACCCCCACAGTTCAGCTGTTCAGCCCAGCTGAGGCCCCATGGTCCCTTTGGTTCCTAAAGGCAGCTGGGGGCCACTCCAGGGAGTTACACCCTCAGGTATAATTCAGCACTTGACAGATCTGGTCACCTGAGGTTCCAGAAGAGACATGACTGAGCTAGGGAATGGCTGACGCTGGCCCAGTTGGTGGCTCTACAGGTGCCTCGCCTATCCTAAGCCCCAGGGGCTGGCTACGTCATGCTGAGCACCTCACACTGCCATCCTGGGGCTGTCTCTCCAACCTGTGTCTAGGGGCTAGCTTCTTCAGTCCCATCTAATTGTTTTTTAACAATTAAGCCTTCAAGCTGGAAAAACCTGCTCTGCTTCCTTTACACAAATGGTCCTATTATACATACTGTGCCTTGATAGTACTACTGCCTGCTCCTAGGAAACACTTCCCTCATTCTTCCTCTTTCGGTCCTGCTCCAGTCTCCTGGGCTGCAGGAAAGCCTCCCTTCCTAATACCACAGCAAATACCAATTAACGCTTAGTACGTGCCAACTGTATGTGTATCGAATATCGGTACTACAAAGTGAGTACTATTAGTATATCCATTTTACAGAAGCACAGAAAAGGTAAGTAACCTGCTCAGGGGTCAGACAAGTAGTAAGCAACAAAGCCAGGATTTGAAGTTGAGGAGTCAAGTTGCAGAGTACACACTTTTACCTAGTTCCACCTAGATTACACTCAACAGGCCACAGGGCAAGTAGCTACTTGCAGCTTATTCTGCTTCTTATCTGCATGCTGGGCCCTTATTTACAACTGTGCAAGCCGTATGGGTATAAAGGAGCTTGAACAAGGGGGAAAGCGGAGGTGGGGCTGTCCTGTGGTGGTCCAGCTGTCATGGGCTGCATATACCTAGAGAAAGGGTCTTCTTCTAAGTCACACGCCAAGCCGAGTATCCTCAGGGATCCTATAGTGGACATGTCTTCCTAATTGCACCAAACTGCCATATGAGCTGGCAGGGGGTGCACTCTGTGTAAGGGGTGGGAGGGGGGCGGGTCCTGCCTCCCCCAAGGGAGTTGGAGCTCTCACGAGACAGGGTGTGTTTTCCCCAAGCTTGGATATTCGGCAGACAGGGGCTGTCTAGCCTCCTCCCCACCCCCACCCTACCCCGAGTAAAGAACCCCATCTCAGCCGTCCCTTGGACCTGGCCATCCATCATAAGGAGGATTATCTTGGACACAGGCCAAACAGCAATACCCCTCTCACCTGCAAACTCATTGAAATGGTTGCCAATGTCGAAAGCTTGGTAGTTGTAGCCAGCGTATTCATAGTCAATGAACCGCACGTGACCTATGAGGTAGAGGAGAGGCAATGAGGGCTGGCCCCAGATCTGGACATAGGGCCTGGTTAGGCCTCTAGACCTCCAGGATGTAACCACTGCCTCTCGCTGGTCTCTGCAGCAGCCCGGCCTTACCCAACCCCTCAGTGGCAATCTTCTAAGCTGTTTCCTTCTGTCTATCCATTGTCTATTTGCTCCTCCCCCAACTTCAGCTGTCCCTCTCACAGCTGGATCCTCAGACGCTCCCCAGCTAAGGACATCTGTCCTCAGCATGGTTGAGGACCATGCTAAGTGGGTGAAGCTCTCTTATCAGGATCACGAGTGGTTCTCCCTTTAGGAAGGCTTGAGGCAGCCGCGATGTCCTTGGAAGCCCAAAACATCATCGTGGGAAGAGCTTGGGTTCTCTCATGTTGAAGACCTCCACAAACCATGATTCTGAGTTCTTTCTCGGCATACATTTTTCTAAGTAGGAATTTGTTTCCTTTTCCGTTTCTCTCCTACAAATTAAGACCTAAGCAAAAAGGTCTCCTTTTACTTGTCCAAGTACCAGCCTGAGGAATAGAACCCTGCTGGCCAGCCAGGGCCAAGGAAATCATACCTTTGGTGCTGTCATAGATGATGTTCTTGCAGAGCAGATCATTGTGACAAAATACGACAGGGGAGTCCAATTGGGACAGGTGCTCCTTCAGCCAGGCCAGCTCCCGTTCCAACACCTCTATCTTAGGGACATCTGTAGAAAGGCTGTATAGTGGCAAGAAAAGTGGCTGGTGGAGGGAGGGCTGATAGTAGACAGGCAGGTGCTTGGCCTCAAAAGCCCTAAGCTCTGCCCTCTCGTTATTTCTTATTGCAGAGGGAGGACCCTAGACAAATGGCTAACCTTTCAGACCCTCACTTTAGTCATCTGTAAAGTGGCACTAAGGCTTCCTACCCTTTTGATGTCCCATGGTTACTCTAAGAAGCCGATTAGCTTAAAAGCATTTTGCAAAGCACCAAAATCTCTGACTGAACAGTGTCCCTGCTACTTTGTGAGATAGGAAGGAAAGAAAGGAAGCATGAGAGAGGACAGGGGAAGTGAGGACGATTCCAGACTCAGAGAACAAGGGCAGCGGGGCAGAGATGCAAACAGATCTGCTCTCAAGACCTACGAAAAATTCCTAGGGGAAGAGGTGGCTCTCCAAAGTTCCTCAAGTGGAGGGATCACAGTGTGCCAGGGAGAGGCTGAAAGCTGGCATGCTCTTGAGGAGGCAGAGGTGTGTCCTGGTGTGTCTCCCTCATGCTCTAGCAGCGGGCGTCACAGAGATCATGTAGTCTAACTTCTCATCACATAGACCACTCAGGCCTACATAAGAAAGCAAACAAGTTGCTTCTTGGGCTCTCTCCTACGAGGCCAAGGAAATATTAGGGCCTTTCAATGAAAAAGCACTTGCTATGTAACTCCCCAATATCTTGCCCCTTCCACCTTGAACTAGGAGTGTTTCCTTGTCCCAGACCCCTGCCATACTGGGCATGGGCAACTTGAGGGCAGGAACAAAGATGCATGGAGACCACTCCGCCCCACCCCATCCCACTGCACACACAGGCATTGCTGCTGAAAGAAATACACTTTGAGGAATGAATGAATGGGTCCATCAGAGGCCACAGGGAAGCACTGTGTACAGAAGCTCTGAACTTTTGCACCCAGGAAGCACACAGATCTGTGTACACTGAAAAGTCAAATAGTCAGCGGAGCCCTTAAAACTCCAGAACCACCAATGGGAGGAGGGGAGGGGGCTAGGGTTTCATCTCCATTCATGTGTCTCCTGTTTGCTCCCTTGTCCAGGGGCGCAACAGTACGAGTGGGTACATGAGAAGGAAACGGGTCCTCCTAATGCTTCCAGGGGACAGCCCCGCCACCCCCTCACCTGGCCCAGAAGCCAGAACACAAGAAGAGTATTTGGCGACCAAGGTATCCCCAAGTGCCCCCGGAAAAGGACTATCAGCAGGATCCCTCCCAGGCTGGAAGGTCAAAGCTAAAGAGGATCTTGGGTCTCTAGTCCAACCCCATGGGGAAACTGAGGCTCAAGGAAACGCAGTCTTCCTCTCAGCCTCCAGATGTCTGTTGCAGAGCTGGACTCTCTACTTCCTAAGGAAAGCAGTCCTCAGCCCATCCATGGATCCAAAATTAAGTGGGGCCTCCTAACTGCAAGGGCCTCAGTGCCCCACAGAGCCCCTCTGCATAGGTGGCTCAAAGTCCGGGAATCTGTTAGGACTGGTCTGGGGGAGACCTCCCGCCACTTGTTCCCACCCCATCCTCACTGGAGTTTATCTGTATCCACGGGGCTGCACAGGATGCATTTCCCTCTTGGCTCTCCTGAAGAGGCTACCTTTTAAGATTCTTTTTTCTTGGGCTGAGACCATCCAAAGATAAGAATTAGGAGGCTTTCTTTGGTTTGCCTGGGTCTCAGCTTGAAAATCATGGCTTTGACATCCATGATTGCCCAGGCCCTGACCTCTGTATGACCCTGCACTACCCACCCCAAGGCCATGCAGATTGTTACTGTGGGAACAATCCAAGCCTTCTACCTCCCTCCCCCGACCACCTGAAACATAGCCAGCACGGCTTTCTTCAGCCCTGACACCACCGCATTCTCTCAAGGCTGTGGGGCTGGCAGAACAGTCACCACCGCCACATCTCAGAAACCTTCACACCCCAAGTTGGGCTGTTCCTCTGTCCCTCAGAGGCCACAGGAGATGGGTGAAGGGGCCTGGGTTTCCTCCTGATAAAGAGACTGATGCCTCGCAAGTGTCCACTGGGCTCTCAGGATCCGGACGGTGGAAAGACTTTCCAAGTGTGAGCTTACATCACCTTTGCCCCCACACCACTCAGCCCATCTGAGTCTCTAGATGCCCCTGAAGCTATTATCAACCTCACATCCTCCTGGATACCCCGGACACTTCTATGCCCACCCAAACACCAAGGTTACCACATCTGTTTCCACAAGGTCTCGGACTCACGCCCCGCTCCCCAGTCCATCCCGCCCCCCAAGCTGCCTAGGGCAGTGTTCCTCCAAATGTTTTTCTTTGATCCCTTGCCTCAGAATCACCAGGGGAGCCTATGAAATGCAGATTCCTAGGGTTGAACTTGAGACCTCCCATCACTTCCCAGGGTCAGGCTGGGAACCTGCACTTAGCAAGCACCCAGGGGAATTCTCATGTTCAAGTGTGGGGAACCCCAGTGCTAGATGTTGCCCATTCAATTTCGACATGCCTCCAGCTGCTCTCCCTACCTCAAATCCCCGTTCCCCTAACGTCCACCTAAGTCTGTCCTTCACAAAGCTAGAAAAGCTTTCTTTCTCCACATCAGAGTCCTGCCCAGGTCACTGAGCCCAACCCAAACACCTTCATAATGACTTTCCACTGCTGCTAAATTGAATCTTCACTCCTTAACCTGGCATTGAAGACTCCTCACAATCTAGGTCCAACTCACACAACCTCTGCAGCCTCATCTCTCACGACCCCTCCCAACCCCTCCTAAAAGATCTGCTCCAGCCAACTCATCTACTTGTAATCCATGAGCAGTCTGCCTCCTGCCGGTGTGGCCTCCCTCCCTCTCTCTGCCAAGAAGACTCTCCCTGGTTCTTCTACCCTTGGCATGTACTACATGCCCTGCCTTCGTCTATATCTCTGCATGGATAGGTCCTATTTACTCAGAGGGTTCCTGAGGGCCTGTGGGCAGGGCCAATATCACTTTCATGTTTTTTGTTGTTCTAAATCCCAATCATTCTTTATAAAATGAAGAATGGACTAAATCAGGGTTATTAGGCAAGCTATTAGGCAGGGTTATTATGGAGCTCAAGTGTTTCATGAATCAGAGTGATTGGTCACACACCCTGCTCTGGGGCAAGGTAGGCAGTTCAGGGTAAGTATCATCCCCTAAAGCAGGGGTCCCTAACCCCAGGGCTGTGGACCAGTACCAGTCCATAGTCTGTTAGGAACCAGGCTGCACAGCAGGAGGTGAGCAGTGGGCCAACCAAGGAAGCTTCATTTGTATTTGCAGCTGCTCCCTAGCGCTGGCATTACCACCTCAGCTTCACCTCAGATCATTAGGCATTAGATTCTCATAAAAGCACCGGTCCCTGGTGCCAAAAAGGTTGGGGACCGCTGCCCTAAAGAGGCTCAGAATAGTTAAGCAACCTGATTTCCCCAAGGTCAAAGGTACACAAGAGTAAAGGGAGTTGGTCAGCTCTTCTCCAGGTATTACTCCCCTCCCAAAAAGGTCACCCTTCTCCCCAAAGGTTATACAGTGACAGCAGAGTCAAAGGAAGCTGCAGCAGCAAGGGTTATGCCTAAGCAACAGGCCTGGACTCTAGTCCCTGAGCTGCAACTGATTGCAATGACCTCGGGCAAGTCGCATCTCCACCCTGGACCTCAGTTTCTCTATCTGTCAAAGTTGTGGTCTAGGTGATCAGAGGGTCCTCTGGCTCAGACACCAGAAGATCCTGCTCTCCATGTGCTGTTCAAGTCCTAAGGGGCAAGGCAGTCCTTGCCCCAGAGATAACACTCGACATAGAAGGTCTGAACATGGCCCATGCTGGACAAATAGTCCGAAAGCACTGCTTAACACCCTTAAGTGGGAGGATCCAGATAAAGTCATCGTGTGTATGAGAGACAAAGATACACAATCGGGACAGAGTTCCTTACTGTCTTGTCATCTTCAAAGAGGGAAGGAGATACTCTGCCCCCAAACCTGGGTACCCCACTCCCACCTGAAACCAGGATGATGCTCAAGCCTTTTCTGGAGGGGGCAGGATGACACCACTCCTCCTTGCCCCTATCGTTTTCTCAGCACTCGAGGGAATGCCGGCGAGCCAGGTATCTGAAGGCTGGGACAGGTATCGGCTGGCCGGCCAGAGCATAAAGGGAGGTTCTGGGAACCCTGCCTTATCTGGAGAAAGGTGATGTCAGGATGGACAAAAAGAGCCGAGAGGAAACAGCAAGCTGTGAGTCAGAACAAGGTGGGGAACTGGGTCCCCAGGGGTGCATGGGGATAGGAGGCATCCAGGCAAGTAGCAGCAGTCCTGATGTCCTAAGGGCTTGTCAGCAGGTAAACTGCCTTCTTCTGACTGACTCTAACTCAGCCTCCCCCCATTCTCAAGGGCCAGGCCCTCCATCCTCACTGCTCAGAAAGCAGCTCAGGTAGAAGGGGCCCTGGGCTAAGAACAGAAGCCCTGCCTCTGACTAGACCAAGACATTGGGCAAAGCTTAGTCTCTGAGCCTCAATATCCTGTAAGTAAAGTGGAGAGATACTGTCCCCGACCCTAAGCCCTGCCACAACCAGAAGACTCGTAGAGAAATAAGCACATGGGTCTAAAACTGTGACTCTAAGTTCCTCAGATTTACTCAATTGGCCCAACTCTGCTTGGAGACAGAGGCTTAGCAATCAGGACTGAAACCCCTAAATCTCCTGTGAGGTGGGATGGAACAAAAAGATGGGGAGGGGAAATCATATGAAAGCGGTACACACAGTAGCAGCCTTGAACCCTCCCAGATCTCTGTACCTGGGGCTGATCTCATTCTTCACAAGGGTGAAATAACTGTGCATCTTGTGCCAGAGGGTAGGCTTGGGCAGGCTGCCGTTGGCATGGATGGTGTGAATCTTTGCCATTTCTAAGGCGATTAGCCTACAGCCGAAAACAGAAAAAGTAGAGTATCAGTGTGGGGCGGGCCCCCCACTCAGCCCCTCCTGCCCAGAAAGGGGCCCTACAGGGTCCATGAGAGCGCTAGCCAGAGGGCTGAGTATGGAACTATTACATATTACAAATCTTTTGAGAGCTCACAGTCTCAGTAGAAGGCATGAAAATGAGGTAAGACCTTTAGCTCAGCAGCTCCCTTTCCAGATCCAGAGCTGGGGCTGCTTCAGGCACCAGAAGGGCAAAGCAGTAGGCTGTTGGCTACAGGTCAATGACCCAGGTTATGTACCCACAGCAACCTCTGAGGACAGAGGGGTCACCTGGAAATAGGAGTGGTGCCCCTCCTCCCCGCTTGGACTCTGACCCGTGCCCTGGGGGAGTGGTGAACACAGGGCACCAAGGGATCAGGGAGTGGTGATGCCAGGCAGGGAAGAAATGCCTGCCTCTTATCAGCCTGGCCAAGGTGGGAGGGAAGCAGGAGGGACCAGGGCAGCCCCTTCCTCTGCAGCAGGGAGTTGATGCTGGCGGCTGGGTGCCAAGGACACAAAACAAACCAGTGTTCTATTTTCAAGTTCTCCTGTGGACATTATCCAAGGTCCCAGGAGAGAAGGAGGGGGTGGTGGGGAGAGGAGAAAACATTGCTGGGGAAGGTTGCTGGGAGAGGGTGGGGGTGGATGGAGGACTGACCAGTCAGAGTGGGAGGGCCCTGATAAGGACCCCAGCCTCGGAGGCCCTGTGTCCCAGCTGCCCCTCCAATCCCCCACCCCAAGCCTCTGCCAGCTCTCCCTTCTGGAGCCCCATCCCCCACCTGCTGCCAAGCCTCCAACATTCAAGCTTCCTTCGCCTCTGCCTGTTGCTCGAATAATAATCACTGGGAAAGACAACAAAGGCATTGGCTGTTTGAAACCTTGTAACCGAGCTATTCCAGGGACACCCCCTCCTCTGCCAGGTCCTAGGAAGGGGCAGGCCATCACCCCACAGGATAGCGGGGCAGTCTAGAGTCTTCTTCTGAAGGCCCCAAGGCTCCCACCTCCTAAAGGGTGGAGGGGGCAAAGGCCGTGGCAGCAGCCTGAGTGAATGAGAGATGAAGGCAGTAATTTCAGAGGCCAGGGCAGGAGGGAGCCTGCCAGGGTTTGGGTGAGGTGGGGAAACAGACCTGAGACCCTGGCCTTTCTTTCCCAAAGGAAGATTCCAAATAAAGCATGAAGAGAGTGTTTCCTTGAATATCAATAGGGCTGTTGTCTGGAATAGCAATGACAGTAACCTCAGCACTCAGCATTTTTATGCTGCAAAGCCTCAACAGGCGGAGGCTGGGAGGTGTGGTTCAGGGCAACATGGGAAGGTGCCTCCCAGAGGCCTTCCCCACCCCCTCCCTCTGCCTTTTCCTCAGAGATCCGCCTTCACCCCAGAAAAATAATGGTCTATCTTAGAAAAAGTATCAAGGAAAGGCTACTTCTTACACTTTTCCCAATTTCTGGCTCTCCCCCCAAATGTAAAGTTGTTATTATCGAACCTAAATTCATCTTCAGTCTTCCTGACAATGGTAATTGCTTCCATGAGACACTAAGTGACAGCATCAGAGTCAAAGGGGTGGTGGAGCCTGGGAGTGGTGAGGACCTGCCAATATTTGAGCTTATTTGCACAAGAGCAGGGAGGAGTCTGTGGCGGAAGCCAGGACAGGGCTCCCCAGACCCCATCCTGCTCTGACCTCACCTGTCCAGACTGGGCACCTATGGAGCTGCTCAGCGGGAGCCTGAGGATCCTGGGCAGGCCCCTGTTGCTGTTCTTGTGTCAGGAGTAACCCTCAGCCCATGTGGAGCCTCATTCTGATCCAAGTGCCCTGTACACACTGCAGTGTTGGAGGCAGGATGGTGGATTCTGCCTGCCGTCCCCACCCAGCACAGTTAGAGGAGAGAGTACACCATGGGCTCTTCTTTGGTTCTCCCCCGCATTCCAGGCCCCACAGCCTCAACATCTGCAGGGTTTGAAGGTTAAGTCAGTTTCTGGGTCCTATACATCTAGGCATTTAATTGGGAGCTGCTCTCAAGAAACCATGGGTTCTGTGAGCCTCTGGAAGCCTGGGCAGCTCCCTAAACCTGGGTTCCTACCTTGTCAGGGATTCTGAAAGGAGCTCACACTGGGGGAAGAATGATAAACTCTGGGCTGATAAAACCATGCTCAACCTAGGGCCATTCTCCTAGCATGCCTGAGCTCTTGGCAGGAGGGGAGGGGCAGGAAGCCCTGACCGCTCCAGGGATTTGGCTCAGATTTCACTTCTAAGGCTCTGAGATGTTTCCAGGTCAGACTTGGGGTGGGTAGAGGGCTGAGGCATGGACCAGGAAGGCCATCTCTGCTGCATTTAGGAAGCCGGGTCCTTTGGTCCCATGTTTGCCAAAATTCTCACATGCCTCCCACAAGAACTCATCCTTCTAGCTGAACCCACTAAAAATCTATACAAAGCTATAGCCCCTTTTTGCAGAGCAATGCACATAAGCACACACTTATTTTTCATGCAATTTCAGAGATTTCACAGATCTTATAACTCATTCATGGACTCCACTCTACACCATGGAAGCTGGCCAAGAATTTCAAAGCCCAAAGCCTGAGGGATCATGGAGATGAGCAGTACCCTGGACACCCTCCTTACCTGAAGAGCCGGGGCTCACGGATGTGCTCAGGCCCCAGGGCCACGCCTCGCATGTATTCATAGCAAAGCCCGTTCTGGAAGGTACAGTAGAGTTTCGGGGCGCAACCGTGTGCTCGCAGCAGCTGGAAGTTCCTGACTTCATTCTCCCGGTCCACCAGCAGCTCCGTCCGCTCCCCGTACACCCGAACCAGCACACAGTCCCGCATGTCTTCCTCCACGTAGCAGGCCACCAGCTTGTTGGTGATACCATCAGTGAAGCGCTAGGAAGGGAAGAGGGCAGCACAAGGGTGTGTGGGGCAGGCTGTCTGCTCTTGCCTCATGACTATACAGCTCTAGCACCTTAAGCACAACCACACAGAACGCTGAGTCCTTTATCTCCTCACTTAATAAAGAGCTCACACTGTTCCTAATGCTCTACCCTGTCCTCAAGGCCTAGGGTAGACTAGAGAGTTCAAGAAAACAATGGCAGCTTGGGCTCAGCCCAGGCACCCTCACTTCTCCTGGGTCTGCCTCCAGTGGATGGGATTTGGTGGTAGAGGAATCTGCTGACCACTTGGTGGGTAGAAGCCCCTCCCGCTCCTTCCTCCTCCATCCTGGCCCTGAAAGAAACCTTCATGGACCAGAATGTGGCAGAGGAGGGCCCAGATCATCCAGGATGAGTACATCCCCACCCAACTGCCTCTCACCGCCTGCAGGCAGAGGGCTCTTTACTGTCCCTCCTGTCCCATCCAAGGTACTAAGGTTGGCACCTACCTCAGGGCCTGGTAGTCAGAGCTCCTTAGGGCCTTTGAATTTCATACCAGAAGAGATAGCAGACTGTGGGCTGGGAGACCAGGCTCCCCAAGGGGTGACAAGGAATCAATCCTGGGATTTATGGGGCACAGTATGACAGCTAGAGCGGCCTTAGAAAACAATTGAACTAATTCTAGGTGGGGAAACTAAGGCCCATAGGGAAAG